TTCATAAAAATAAATTCATACATCGAGATTTTCATAGCGGAAATATGTTATTTGATTTAAATACCAGTGCAGGTAAAAATTATCAATGGAAAATTGGGGATCTAGGATTATCACAAGAAATAAATAATGAATCATCAAATAATGAGATATATGGAATTATACCTTACATTGCACCGGAAATATTTAAGGGGTCTTCATTTTCTAAAAAAGCTGATGTCTATAGTTTGGGTATGGTTATGTGGGAACTTACAACAGGTTGTAAACCTTTTGATAATGTTAAACATGATCATAATCTTATTTATAACATTCTTGATGGTGAACGACCCAAAATTACAGAAGATACACCAGAATGTTATGCTAATTTAATGAAAAGTTGTTGGAATCCTGATCCAACAAAAAGACCTTCTATAAAAGATATTCGTTTAACTTTTGGTAGATGGACTTTTAAAGGTAAAAATAAAGCAGAATTTATTCAAGCTGAAACAAAAAGAATGGAACTTATACAATCAAAGAAGCTTGGACCAGAATTTGCTGAAAAACGACATTCAGAAGCCAATTATATAAGTAGGCCATTAAGCGCTTTAATTTCTAAATGTTTATCCACAAATTCATCATCAATTTCAATTGGTAATAAAAAAGGTATTAATAAAGAAAAATCTATTGTAAATAAAAATACTACTTAATCTTAAAAGTTAAAACACACGTTATCTTCCTTAGATTCTAATTATATTTATGTTTCGGAAGAACAAGAGTTTGATATAGACATTGAAAGGTATTTTCATTGTAAATGGTAGTACGATGTTTACTAATTAATTAATTGACACTAATTTATTATTTAGTTCATCATCACAAAATTTAAGTTTAAAAATTCAAAATATTTCAACCTCTTTTAAAAAGCGAAACATTGAAGAATTAAATCTTGAAATCGATGGTAAATATCAATCTTTGTCTGTGTATATTTTGATTTTTTGTATGTATATTTTATTTTAACCAAATCTAAAATTTTTAAAGTAGGAAAACGTATTAAAACTAGTTAAATTAATTATTGAATTTCGGAGCTGAATATTCGTCGTAGAAAACAATTGTTTGTATTTGTAAATGAGTATATCCTTACTCGCGGTACAGTCATGTGCATTTTACTGCGGAATCTGCGGATTTTGTAGATATCTCTCAGTCCGGCAAAATTGATTTAATAACAGGTCAAATATCAGATACGGTGTAACATTTTGTCAATCCATGCTTGATTTTCACCCGCCCAATGCCTGATAGTTTAGTCCAACTCGGCTTGCCATAGTTTTTTCATTTAATTGTGTCATGTTGTCAAAAAAAAAATACTACAAAATATTTTTATTAATTAAATTATAAAATATTTTATAATTATTTCTTATTATTTTATATTACGTCAATCTTAAACTTATAACCAACTTGGGAAAAATATTTGAAGTTTTGAACAATTAAATGTATTAGAATTTGTTCATTTCATTTATTATTATTCTTTTGATACTCATTTTACTTGAATAAATTATTAATTTAACTAAACCATTTGAATTAAAATCTTTTATTCAAAAATCTGGTGATTATTTAGAGAATTCCGGATATGGATTCAGTTATAATAGTCTATTATTAAATCAACAATTTCTTTAATTAATTAATTATAAAATATTGTAAAAATATTAATTTTTTTTGATTTTTATGAATTTGAAAATCAAACTATTTATCCAGCGTTCAATTTAATTGCTATCAACGTAGATCAATTTCCTACGTGTTATATTGATTTTTTTTATAAAAAAATAATTTTGTAAATATATTTAACATAATATTTTATTTCTTTATTTAATGATAAAAAAAAAATTGAAAGAAAAAGAAAAAAAAAATCAAAAAAATTTGGAGGGAAAGAAAAAAGATGAAGAAAGAAACCGGTTTAAAAAAGGGAAATTTCCAAAAAAAAAAGAATATAAAAAAATCTGTCTTAAAAAACCGAAACAATGGGATTATTTAAAAATAATTTTTCAGTTTGGGAAAATATTTAAACCTAAACGGGAAAAGAATAAAAAAAAACAAATTTTTCGGTTTGAAAAAAAAAACTAAGCCGAAAGAAAGGGAGAAAAAAATGTTTTTCAGTTTGAAAAAAAAATCGGACAAAAAAAAATTCTGAGGTTGAAATTCACACGGATCGAATAGATTTTAACCATAAATAGATTAGGGGGAGGCATGTCCCGGGTTTTAATTATATGGCATGGGATTTCAAGTTACACAATGACTAATAATCCAAACGTAAAACAAATTTTTTAGTTACGAGAATAGCTGATAGTCATCAAAATATTATTCGATTATACGGAGTTACAAAATTAGACGATAAAAATAACAATTATGTAAATAAACTTATTATTTCATTGACAAGGTAAAGAAAAATATTTGCTTGTTCTTGAATATGCAGAAGGTGGACATAAAGAAATTATTTAAGGAACAGTAATATAACTTTTAAATGGGAGGACTAATTAATGTTTGCTAAAGAGATTGCAAGTACGATTTTATGGTTACACAATGTTAAGGAAATCATACACGGGGATCTTGTAAGCGCATTCTTATTTGTTTTAAAATTATATAGCGGAACTAGTCCACTAATTAATGTATCTTTTTAGCACCCCAACAATATATTAATACACAATGATACAATAAAATTAGCAGATTTCGGCCGTTCACTTAAAAAAGGAAAGCATGGCGATAATACTGGAGTTTATGGTGTAATTCCTTATATGGATCCTAAATCCTAAAACGTTTACTTCCCATAAGATAAACGAGAAGTCTGATATATACAGTTTGGGAATAATATTCTGGGAATTAACAAGTAAGCCGTTCATCCCCTTTCAATTTTGAAACAAGACATGATAATGTTGTTATGTTAGAAATCCTTAAGGGAGAAAGAGAAAAACCTATTCCAGGCACGAATGTTAAATATATTGAACTTTATCAAAGTATAAGTCAATTGCATGTATTACCTAATAACAATATCAAATAAATGTGGAATAATATTTTGTTCTCTCAAAAATAAATCTTTTATCTTCTTTCTTAGCCCATACGACATACGTTAGAAAATGCAGCACGAAAATATTGAGACTTTAAATTATTATCTTTGTTAAGGTTCCTCTTCCCTGTAAAAAAAAGTTGATCCTTTTTTTATATTCCATTTTTTTCCGCAAAAGGCTCATATTTGTGGAATTAATAACCCTATATCATGGAATTTATCGAATTATCTCATTTTCCGTGAATGTATCTGTTAATGGCTAAGTTTACGAAGTTTTTATGAAAATAATGGATAAAATTTTTTATAGAGCTTAATAAATTAAACCAGTTTAGGTTTAGACTTATTTTTTTATTTCCAAAAAAATGGCTTCAAAACTTTTGGCAGAGTTATTTAATGATTATGAGGAACCTTTTGAAACTAGAATAGGATATGATGTTATTATATATGCAGGAGTCAGGAGAAGAACCAAATGTCAAAGAAATTCATGCTTTGTGTATTTTTTTGACTCAAGTTGACTCAAGTGCACGTGATCCATAATGCTGGCCAGAACTATCATAACGTCGGCCTACATTCCCGTTAGACAGAAAATATAGTGAAATATTTAACACGCATAAAATTTTATATAATTGAGAGATTTATACTTTTTGAAAGATATTTTTTATTTGCATTAGTTTAAACTTATAAAAACATTTGTTTTTAAAGTTGCAAATAAATTTATACCTGTTAATAAAAAAAATTAAAGATTTAAACGTACTTTATAATATTTAATCTTCGACGTCACAGATAAATTTAATTAGAAAGGTCCAAAAAGTAAAATTATTGGATTAGGCTTAATTGTAGAAAAATACAATATTTGATTAGTCATTATTATAAATAACGACTAGCGTAGTATATTAACAAAAAATAAATACAACGATTGCCTAAATTATAAAAGCTGCTATATAATTCATAGATTATTAAAATTTCCTTTTCCATTTTCATTTATTTTTTAATTACTTGATATACTTCATAATCCTCTATTATAATGTTTTTTGGAATATCTAAATTAGGATAGTAATCTAAATAACCATCATAAGTCCAATTATTGGAATTAGAGCAATACAAATCACCCATATGTGGTCCATGATTATTATCACAATAAATAGCATAATTTTTGCTTTTATTATTATTGATATAAGATAATTTTGTTGTGGTATTAGAAATATTTTTCCAATCTGCAAAACTGAATAAAAAACTATTTCTAGTATATTTCCAACCATCTCCATTCCAATCAAGTGGATTATAACCTCCAATTACATTTGTTGAGTCTTCAATTTTTGCTATCCAAATAGTAGCTCCTTTATTGTCACAATTTCTATGGAATATTCTAGCATCAAATCCATCCCTACTTGAACGATATAATAATTTAAAATCATATGGAACATTCTTTTTATTATAATATGAAGAATCTTTTTTATCAATCCATGAAGCAAAAAGATGATTATGATTTGGTATAATAAGATTTAATTTTAAATTTTGTTTTCTTGAAGGTGGTATATTAGTTTTAGGTTTCTTATTAGGAACAATATGAAACTCCAAAAGATCGTGAATTAAGTCTCGTGGTAAAATTTCTTTATAACGATAGACTTTGTAAAAGAATTCTGTTGGTTCAATATCATAAAATCGAATTGATGGAATAAATTTGTGCAATGTCCTTTCAATCTTTGAAATATCATCTTTGTTCCATTTTGTTGGATCACTGATCATATTATGCTGTGCCAAACACCATTTCAATAAGTTGTCCCAAATTTCAATTTCATCCATATTCAAATCATCCCGTTTCAATAATATTTCTAATAAAGAAGCTTTTAAATTAATAAAATTATCAGAATCAAATAATATTTTAGGTTCTTCACAAATTCTTTCAAGAGAAAAATTCCATAAATCTGTAAAAGTTTCATGTTTATAAATAATTTCAAGAATACTGGTTGGATTTTGACGTAAGAATTCAATTTGATGTTCAACCAAATATTCCTGAATATAAGTAATCAATGAATGAATATTAAGTTCATCCACTGCGATCAATAAGTTCAATACATTAGGACCTTGTAAATTTTTCAATTCAATATCTCCATAATAAATGAATCTATAAACATAATTTTAATACAAATTAATGATTAATAATTTATTTAAAAATATAAAAAAAAATTAAAAATTACCATAAAAATATAGTATTACCTAAGAATGATATCAAACAAATGTGGTTTAATATTTTGTTTTTTTAAAATAAATTTCCCATTTACTTTTTTTGCCCATTCATTGGACAATGCGGCACGAAAATATTGTGATCTAACGATTAAAATATTTGAATGAGCATGAATTTCTTTAACATTTGGTTCTTCTCCTGCATATATAATAACATCATATCCTATTTCAGTTTCAAAAAGTTTCTTATAATCATCGGATAACTCGGCCAAAAATTTCGAAAACATTTTTTGAAAGAAAAAAAAAGAAAAGAAAAGAAATAGTGAAAACAGTAAGAACAAAATTTTTTTAGATATAAAAATGTATAAATTATACTGGTGGTATTCCGTTACAAAGAAACGGGATAAAGAAAAATTATTATATATGGTGATATATTACACAAATTAATAATCGACGCAGGGGTATCAAACAATTAATAAACGTGATGGCGCACGGATAATTTTTTGTGTATCAGGTTGAAGTAACCGTCTAAGTTAATTTTAAATAAAAAAGGAATATTTATAATAGGGTATTTATTTGGGAAATTTCTTAAAACATTATCCTTAAATTGTGACAATTTGTTTTTGCAAAAATTGTTAAAGTTTTTTTTTTTTTAAAAAAAAATTATCGTTATAAAAGAAATTCTTTAAATTATGCTAAAAATACATGATACTTATATTTTAAAATATACTTAAAATACGCTTAAAATTTTTAAAAATTAAGGGACGAATCGCTTAAAAATTAGTTAATACCTTTTTTACTGGATCATCTCATCATGTGATATTATACGTAATAGTGGAGCAGTAATCTCGCACCCGTGATAAAAATTTTTAGCATCGTCTCTAAATTAATTTGGGACAAAAGGTTATGCATTAACTTTGTAAAAAATAAAAATAAAAAATTCTTACTGTAACAAAAATTTATTTTATATTTATTAAATATTTAAATTATTATGTTTTAAAATTTTTTCTTTTTAAATACAGTACTTTAGTTAATTAATTTTACTATGTATTTAATATTTTTTTTTGACATAATATTATAATATAAATTGAAACACAAAATAAAGTGTCTTTGGCATTTTTTTTAAATAATAAATAAAAAATAATATTTTTAAAACTTTAATATTGCAAATAAATAAATATTTATATATTTTATTTTATAAAATTGCGTATTAAAAAACTATAAATAATTAGTAAACATTAAAAAGAAGTATGTTAATAAACACTTAGAACATAAATTTTTATATACATAAGCTTCTTCTGCTTGCAATTGAGTAAAAAACGCGAAAAAAGTTAAGTTCGAACGAAAAAAAACACAAGTTCGAACTTGAAAAAAAACATTTTCATAAATCCCGGTACATCTTAATTTTGAGGCTAATAAACACGTGGTAAAAATAGTAAACTATTTTTATCACGGGTGCGGGATTACTGCTCGTAATGAGTGTCAATCATGACTAAGAATGCAGAGTTTGAAGTCGCTAAAGTTTCAAAGTCTTCGAGGAACGTAAGATTCCGACCGTAAATTTCTAGTTTCAAATGATTTATTTTTGAACCATTTGACCAAAAATAAGTTAATTTTGGTTCTAATTTAGTTTTTAAACCTTTATTTAGTTTTAGTTTAGCTTTTTTTTTTATCTTTATATTTGTATGGTTCCCACCAGTTTTATGTATATATCCCATAGTACGAGTTTTTAAAACAATTTCCTTAGCCAAAAGAGTTAGTACTGTATACTGTTTTTTTGTTCATTAAAAAAGTTTGTATAATAAAGAACATGAAATTCCAAAAAAAATTTTTTTATTAATAACGAAGCCCGTAAACTTAATTATAGATTTACCGATCATTTTCTCCTGTTGAATGCAGAACTATCACTTAACTTAAATTGCAACTTTACGTATATTTTAAGTATTTTAAGTGTAAATTTTTTAAATTTTTTACACCTTAAAAATGTATTTGAATTATATTTAAAATTGCAATTTTAAGTATAATTTAAAGGAGTATCACTGTTGGTTATTTTCTTCTTACCAGAATTAGGTAGAATTTTGGGCAGAATTAAAAATGACATGAAACTCCGCCCGCTAATATTTGCTAATGCTGGTGCCGTGAAGATCGCCGCGCGGTGATTTTTTAACATTTTCTAATTTAAGCATATTTTAAAATCTTGAGTATATTTTAAGTCCATTTAACGATAAGCACATTTAAGTATATATATATTTTTTTCATAGGGTATATATAGGCTTAATCAAAGAAGAATTTCTAACAAATGATAATAAAGATAAATTTTAAGTCTGTTTATATTCTTCAGTTTACTTAGAGCACAATGTAACTCGAGTGCACGTGTTCATAATTCTGTCATAATGTCAGTCTAGAGAAAGACCATAGTGCGGAGTATGCTAAAGTTAATTGGCCCGCATTATTGCTTTGATTCGAGTCCATTACTCTTTGAATTAAAATACTCAGTTGAATTGTCCAAACTAGAAACCAAGCTTATACATTTTATATACTCATACTGTCCAGAAGTTCCAGGAGGCAACCAGAAAGACCATATTGATATAATATTAAAGAATCCAAAAATAAAGAGAATGTTATAAAAAACAAAAAAATAATAATAATCAAATGATCAGTCAATTATTATATTCGTCTTGAGTAATAGTGATTCATATATTTTAACGGCTTATATTGTGAAACAACTACACTATTTCAAATTCATAAGATAGCAATAAAAGAAAATATATCATAATTTTATAATTAATTAATTGTAATTTATAAGTTGTTTATTATACAATTTTTAAGATTGTGTATAATCTCTTCATGTTGTGTGCATCTTTATAAAATTGTTAAGAATATTTACTACCGCTAAAGCATATAACGAAGTTGAATCCATTTCTCCTTGTGACATTAATAGAGTAGAATTATATTCCTCTTGATTTATTTGATGGAAAATAACAGGCGGATAATCATTGCGGATGAGATATAGTGCCATAATTAAACGACCAACATGTCCATTGGCAGTACTAAATGGATGAATATGATGAAAGGCAGAAAGTATACGACACGCAAACATAATAGGGTGAATCTTATCAGGAATACCATAATTTATAAATAGTAAAAGACTTCTCATCAATGCAGGTACTTCAATGGGAAACTACACGAATTATAAAAGTATGAAATCAATTAAATCAATTACAATAAAATATTAATAAATAAAAAAAACTTAAATAGTTAAAACTTACTGGATGAATTACATCATTAGAAATACATGAATCTACACTCAATTTACGAAATTTTCCACTATGTAGAATAAACTCTCTTTGAAATTTATCCTCACAAAAATCATAATCATTTAATTGGACATTCTCCATTGGTGTACCTTTTAAAAGAATTTGATGAATTCTTTTTATTTCGTCAAAATCAATTTTTTTCTTTGTCACATACAAAGTATTATAAAGATAATAAGTTGCAATTAGATGATTCCGGATTTCAATAACTTTATTTTCTTCTTTATCAGAAAGAGAGCTTGGTGCAGGTAATGGTATATTCCAATTTGTCATAATATTATCAAAATTATAATTTTTTTTCAGTGAATTCCAAATTTTTTGCGTATCTATTATCCCTAATTTATTTCCTTCCAATGCACAACTTTGTTGTGTAAAACTAGCAGTCATACTTTGTAAAAAGTTTGCAGCTGTAACTTTCTTAGAGTCTTTGAATGCATCAATTTCTTTCAATACATCAGCATATTTTGATCGAAATTCTTTTGAATGAAAAAAAAAAAAAAATTAAATTGATTAATTAGTCAAAATTAAAACAAAATAAAAATATTTTTAGTTCATACCATAATCCTTTTCTCGCCATTCAAATGGACCAAAATAATTTTCCCAGACCTTTCCGGATCTGATAAGTTTAGCCCAATCAAGTTTCTCTTTATGATAAATCATAAGTGGTGAGTAAATCTGTTAAGTTAAACGAGTAAAGAACTGATTATTTGCTATATGTTATTTGATAATAATTTAAAAAATAAAATTACTTTATTTAACACAGCAAGTCTTTTCTCTACGTGTGATGCGACAATATTATATCTTGTTGATGAGAATGGGCGTAATGAGCGTAACTGAAATTTTTTAGAGCCATTAATGAAAAAAGAGTTTGTCAATAGAGAGTTATTTAACATAATTATGAAAATCGTACAGTAAATCTAAGAAATGATTAAAGAATAGATAATCTAAGATCATTTAATTACTTTTTTGTAGTCATAACAAGTGATGACTAATTCATAAATGAATCATTCTGTAATGATAATTACTTCATGACCTATACCTGGTACTAATGATGGTAAATCAATAGTCATACAAAATTGCAATGGAACGATGTATCATCATCATGCGTAACTCGTGGTATCCTTTATACATAATGATTATCAGGTATCCATTATCCGTTATCTGAGTATCCAATCCGAATTTATCCAGATAACATATACTTCTGCCCTTACTATGATAGTTTTATAGCAGTTTTTAGCACATAGAATACCTTCTGCTGATAAGAAATAGTATAAGATAAAAAGAGTAGTAAATATTTATGTTTCCTTTAAAAATCTATATTATATTCTAATTTTTGAGAAATTGATCATTTCTAAATTAAGCCACTTTTCGTTTGATTTGGATGTTGTTCAAGTATCAATTTAGAAATGCACATGAATGTTTTTCTGCTATCATATCTCCATTTTATTATGATCGGCCATTCATTTCATAGTATAATCTGTGTCATCAGTAAATATGTGAAATTATTTTACATGTTTAAATACATCTTTGCCTCAACTTACGATAAAATGGTATGATTCTGAAATTATGTCTATCGATGGATAAAAAAAAATACTTTCAGAAACTTGTTGAGTGGAAAATTAGTGGATTCCCCTAATAACAAATGTAGTTTGTATTCACTAATCTATTTTTATCTCACTCAATCTAACAACGTGATTACTTTAAATTCCTTATAAAAATAAAAATAAAAAATTCTAAATGCTTATTAAAAAGCTTATGAACTCTATCATTATTAGTATAAACCACAATCAGCAGCGCTTACTATGTATGCGACGTCCCATTTCTTTCACTTTTAACATCATTGTAACCATCTGTAGTTTAATGTTTTTATACCAGCCACTGAAGGCAAATTTTTGAATATTTGTTAGTTTTAAAATACAGCGACTTAATTTATTTAATTAAATGTATATTGTATATGAGGTTCTAATATGGGAGCAAATTGATTCTCATTATTTTCCGAACGCGTGTTATTATATCTGATTTTATTAAGCTAAATTCATGAGTAATTTAACATTATGAATATTCTTTTTAATTTTAATTTTAATTTATTTATTGTAAAGCTTGGCAGGAGGATAATATTTAAGGTAAATCAGAATTTGTTTTTGATAATGAGAACGAAAATAGCTGTTACCAAATAAATGGATTAACAAAAGATTTGAAATTGTGTAAGCATCAGAATTCAGAAATCAATAAAACACCATAAACTCTATGATATCTTTGTGAAAACAATACTAGCGATCATTGGTCTTGTATAATGATCATTAGTGTTTTTCAGAAACTTGTTATTTTAAAACAAGCATTTTTTTTTCTTTTATATACAATATTATGTGTTTGATTTTCGTGCTTATGTATGATTATATTGTAATCTTAATAATTATAACAAATGTAATCATAGTTGTCCAGAGTAGTGCTTCGATCCAGATGAAAACTGTCGTCCGGATTACACAAAAAAAATCCAGGTTTTATCCGGATTGATCTGGATTCTTTATCCGGGTCAAAAAATCCAGATAGAAACTGAAATCCAGATTAGATTTACAACTGATCGGCAATAATTCTGGCCAGAATTCATAACGCCGGCCAGAATTACAAATTTGGCCAAAATTATCTAGGACCGCGAAATTTTCATAATTCCAATTTTATTCAATACTTTTTTTTAATCTTCTTTCTTCGTCACCTCCCTTTAAAAAGAAATTTTTTTTCGTCACTCTCCTTTAAAAAAATTTTTTTTTTGATTTTATAGTATTGTCTCAGACTATTGTTTAGCATATTAACTAATTATGAAATTTTGGATGAACAAGATATTTTTATATACAGCTAAAGATTACTATATTGATGTGTTGGGTTAGTAAGGCAATTTTTAAAATGTTAAAAAGGATTTGTTTCTTCTTACAAAAATTAAAGAATCATTTGAATCAAATTATAATGCTAAGATTTTAATTTTTAAAAAAAGTTGTTATAATTATATAAATTTTATAATATTTCAATTTTTTGTAATTTGTTCTAAATAATTTTTCATTTAAAAATAATAATATTATTTCATAGTAAAAAAATAATAATAATTTTTTTTCTTTTGAATGTTTGAATGTGAAAAATGATTCTCTGTTTAGTAAATTATTACATTTTAAACTTCAGTTAATCAACATGTGATGTAAGTATTTTTGGTGTTTTCACTTTTCAGTATTTAAAATGTTTGTCTATGGTCGCAGTTTAATGAAAAAAATATATACTTATTTCTATAAATAATTTGTAAACCTTATTATATTATTATTATATAAAGTTACGGTGCTATGCAAAAAAAATAAATGATTCAATAATGGTGTAGTTAGCCAAAAAATTCAGCCGAAGGCATAGTAAATTTTTGGCTTACAACATCCAGCCAAAAAAAATTCATGTTGATCTTGAATATTTTATTGGTTCAACAACTACTATTTTTAGCTGAATATTTCAGCTAAATACACTTTTTTAAATAATAGTATAGTTAGCCAAAATATCCAAATAGCAGTCAATGTGAAATAATGAAAAATTTTATTTATTATAGGAAACAAGAAGTATATAACATTACTATACTTATTTTTGGACGGTGCATTATCTTTAATTAAATAAAACTACAAAATATTTGTTATTTTTAATTCATTTATTTCTGTCCAATCATATTTCAATATTAGATTTTTAGTAATTTAATTGTAAAAATGAAATTTTATTAATATTTAATTGTTCTTTAAATTAATGAATAGTTTATTTAACTATTAAAACTATATATAAAAACTAGTGTACTTTTGGATATAGTGAGTGAGTTTATTTTTGAAAGTATACTAATAAATTAATAAAAGATTTTTTTATAACAATAGATTGTGTTAGTGAGATTTATAAAAAAATTTAATGAGATTTTTTTTTAATAACAATATATTGGTAATAAACAATTAACTTATTAACTGAAGTTAATAATTGTTTTTAGTAAGATTTTTTTTATAGTTCACAGTAACACTAATATTACTGATAAGTAATATAAATAAAACAATAGATTACATTTAATAAGGTTAATAAAAAAATTTTCCAAGATTTTTTTAATGGTATAGTAC